TGACCTGTTGGCCTAGGTCCCCGAACCTGATAAAGCTATTTCTGTTTCTGCCCTCCCTTGTCCCTTCAGGTATGTCTGTCTGTCTCCCTGTAGCTCAGTTTCCCCTTTACAAGAATCATCCAATGTGATGATATACCTGAATTTGAAGGGACACCAACCTCTCCCATGAGCGCTCTCATTTTCTAGAGAGGAGGAGGAGAAAGGGGCATTAGGCTTGATCCTGAGTCATGGGATGCGCTCAAGTTATTTAGAATCGACAGAAGGACAAAGGGATTTAGGGTAAAGCAGAAGTGTTGTTGTTTTAATTTTGGAAAGCAGAAGTGTTTTTAAAGCTCTGCACTACAGAAGGTGTGTTAGTAGGGGGGTAGGAAGAAGAAGGAAGCGGGGGTGGAGGGAAAGGAGCGGGCGCAGTGGGTTTGGAGACAGGCTGAGGACAGGGCGGGCGGCTTGGCTGATGCCATAGTGGAGCGGGGTCAGGAGGAGCGGGGTGCTGAGGTGGAGAGGAGGAGATCATGGACCGGAGCCCAGTGACCGATGGGAAAGGGAAAAATGTGTCTCTCTTTCCTGACTGACTCCTTGACGCCAATCTGTTATCACACTCCATCCATCGTTTTCACTCAAGTCTCAGATGACGACTTCTCTTCAAATATTACGAAACATTTCCCAGTCTTCCTTGGATTGCCCTGTATCATCTTCACCATGCTTGAAATGGTCTCTTAATGGCTTCCACGACAGCAAGCTCGCCTGGTTTTCTCTGGCTCCTGCTCTTTGTCTTTCTTTACGGGTCCAGCTGCCGCTTCCTGAACGTTACGTATCGGAATTTCTTCAGGTGTAGTCCTTAGGCCTTTGGTCATCTTCATTCTCTTCCGACAGTCTCTCACGCCGGCCTCTTGAAATCCCTCTATCTAACCCATTACTCCTGTCAATTTTACCTCCGAAGAACTTTAGAATCCATCTGCTTGCCTCTAACTCCAGTGTCAGCCTCTCGCGTCAACACGGATGATGTCTAGATGACACGGAGAAGGCGAATGCCGGCCTGGAGACGTTCTCTTCACGTTCTCTGGCTTCCTGCCAATCTGTTCTCCAGATTACAGCCCAGATTCTATTCCCCCTAAAACACACATCGATCTGACCGTTCAGTTCTTTCTTTCCTTGAATAAATACCAAACCTATTGAGTGGTCCACAAGAGGTGGCATGGTCCTGCCCTGATGCCTGCTCCAGACACTCTGGCTTTTGCCTGTGCAGCAGCTTTGTCCTGCTTTTTCTCCTAGGCGCGAGAGCTTGGGCGGTGCTTCCTCTAGGAAGTCTTTCCAGCCCCCTGTCTGGGTCAGGATCCCCTGTACTGTACTGCTCTTCAGAGTCCTCATCTGGGTTTGAGACCACCCATCCATGAAATGGTTATTTGATAAACCCCTCTCCTCACACCAGACTCTACGCTCCAAAAGAACAGAAACCACATCTGTTTTCGCTCATCTTTGTATCCATCCTACTCCCCGAGCAGAATCGGAACGGGACTTAGAAATCGCCTGTTTCCTATCATTGTAAAGTTGAGAAAATGGAAGTGGGTGATGAAGGGGCTCACAGCACACAGCCAGGTGGTGGCGGGGCTGGAGTGGGAATCCCGCGCCTGTTCTTGTTCAGTGAGTGCTCTTTCCAGCTCAAGTGAGATAAAGTTTATTGTGCCAACCTGGCTGATAAATACATGTGGGTTAATTGAAGGGCAGAGAGATAAATGGCTTAGTGAGGATCGCCTTTCTAGTTCTCGGGTCTCTTGCTTTGTGATGGTCGCACCAGGTGCAGCTGCCTTCGCCAGTTCCCTGCTTCAGCTGGCAAGACTCACTTCCTGCAAGACATCCCTGAGGAGAAGCCACATGGACCTATCCTGATGCAGCCCTGGGTGCTGGAGCAGCCGTGTGGAGACCCCTGCCAGCGCTGAGATGCTTACATGTTCACTGACTCGGCTTTCCTCCTGCAGTCAGCGTCATTGCGTGTGTTTTGTGAGATGGAGGAGGACTGTGTGAATTGGTGTTGGACATATGGGTTAATGTTGCACTTGTGGGATTGGGCCACACTGGGATGGGATGTTTTCTTGATGTGCACTTACCCTTTATATAAAACTCGCTCTTGAGTTTTATATGAGTTTCTGTAGATTTGTTTCTCTAATGTACCAAGACGAACACATCAAGCTAGGAACTTTGGAGCTGTTTAATGGACACACTCTGGATAATATTCTCCTGGCGTCCCTAGGTTACCATGCTCGCTTTCTAACTAAAGGTTGGGGGTTCAAAACCACCCAGTGGTGCAGGGAAAGAGAAGCCTGGTGATCTGCTTCCCGGAGATCCACCCTTGGAAACCTCATGGAGCGTAGTTTTCCTGGGACACAAGTGGAGTTGCCATGAATCTGAACAGACTTGGTGGCAACTAGTAGGATTCTCTCACTCCCCTATTTTTGTTTGGGTTTTTAAATTTAAAATGCAAGCTGTTAAGTTCTCTTGGTTATGCATTTGAATCTCAAATCATTCAACTCTCGATAGCAGTAGATAAAAAACTGATTCTGGAGAAAAGGGGGAAAAAACCCCAAACATTTTAAGGATATGCCTCATCCCCTCACCCTGTCAACTTACAGGAATGGCAAGGATGCCTGGCAGACCCAGGAGCCTCTTGGCTGCTGCTCGTCTTCCGGACAAGTCATACTTTGTGGCCAGCCAGCCACACTCCAGCTTAGAATGCCTCCAGCTTACTCTCTGAACATCACAGAGAAAGACGCCACTTCTGTGTCCCAGCTCTAGCAGAACATCATCTTGTGAACTCGTAGGCCACAAGTCAGTACTGTTTGGGGTACAGACACCCGTCAGGGATGCTGTGGACTCGGCCCCAACACAACACACAGCAAGCAGCCCAATCCAGCGAGTCCCACAAATCTTCGGTTGCCCGGGGTGTCTGAGCAGGGGAGCTTGCACTGTGCTCCAGTCTACTCACTCTGCAATCGCATTATGAAAGAGTGGAGGATATTGTGAAACAGAACCAAAATATGAGAGAGGCACAAAGTGTACACATACCGCTGGGAAAACTGCCCCTACAGGCCTGCTCTGGGCAGGGTTGCCGCAAACTTGCACTTTGTAAAAAATGCAAAATCAGCAAAGCACAGTAGCGCCAAGGACAATTAAATGAGGTCTGCCTCATTTTTTCCCTGCAGTAAATTTTCCTCTGCCCCGATTAAAAACGCGGGGGCCCTCTGGTGGTAACTTATAGGAAATGCTCACAGAGGAGCAGGGATTTGCTTGGTTTTGTTGTGTGCTGATGAGGTGATTTAAACCCCAAGACCACCCTATTGGATAGAACAGAAGTAGAGCTCTTTTTCGGTGAGGAGAATGCTCACTCCGTCCTGTATTCTTCCCCTTGTTTCCAGAAGCAATCTCAAAACCAGCCGTTAGAGCAAGCCAGGGCCATTAGGAACTGTCCGAACAAGACGACTTCAATGGGGCCTTCTCAGTTTGTGCTCAGCCCTGCTGCCCCAAGAGCTGTGACTGAAGCGGGTCTCAGCCTTTATGGGAGAGGCTTGGCGGGAGGTCTCAGTTCCTGACAGAAATGCCCTCACAACACAACATCTACACTCAGTGTTGCATTTCCCAGTTCACGAATCTGGCATGATGTTAGTTATCAAGGTCAACTGTAGGCAGAGGAGCTCTGTGGCAGCGGCAGGTCTCCATGGATGGAGGGCTGAGGCCAGCAGAGGGGGAAGTCAGGGGCAGTTGGTGACACATGCAACCTATGCAGCCCTTAGCTGTTCAAGGACCTGGCAGGCGTGAGCCCACGAGAAGAGTGAGGGTTGAGCAGGGGCAGAAGGGAAGATTGGCAAATATCCAAACTGTATCAGAAGCAGGAGAAGCCAGGAATCCAAGCAGCTTGTGACTGGGAAGGGTGACAGGCCAGAGACACAGGAGCGAGGGGTCCAGGCAGATAGCTGGTGTCAGGACAGCCAGCCTGTGGCATTGGCTTCAAGGACAGGGATACCTGGCTTTCAAGGCGGCAGCAGGCTTCTGAGATCTTTCATCAGAGAAGCTCAGAATCTCTCTTCCCAATTGATTTTCTCTATCAGAAGTATGTGCCCTCATTTTATGTACTGTGTTTCGTAGTCTATTGAGGTCTGTATTTGATTTTCTTTGCATTTTAAAATGCATGACTTTTAAAAATGAGAAGAAAAACCAAGCCCCACTTAGGAACTGTCGGTGTGAACAAGTTAAGGAGTCACAAAGAGATCAAGACAGTTTAATGAGTGTTCCATGGCAATCCATTCATGTTTGCCTGCATCGTTACACACTTTACTCGGGACACTCACACTCCACTAGGGACAGGAGAGGGACTTTTAAAAGCACGTTTCATGTTTAATACAAAAATGGTGGCACGATCACGAAGGGACCTCTTCATGCACAGCTAAATTTAGCGTCTGCCGTTTGGGAAGAGTCAACCTACGATGGCTCTGCCAGACATTGGCCGATGGAACTCACGCTCGGTGCTCTCGAACGCAAGGCAAGACTTGTGTCTACTTGGAATTTCCAAGAGCCTGGTTGGCCTGGGAAAAATGAACATGGAGACCTGAAAGGATTTGGGGTCAACTGTACCTGGAGTGACTTCAAACTGTGCTTTCCCTACATAGGTGAAAGATGCCTGGACATTAATCCTACTGTCCCCACAGGCAAAGAGCTCTGAAGGTTCTCTCTTTAGAAATCAGCCGCTAATGCATAGAGCAGTTCACCATTTGTTTCACAGCAAAAGGGAACATAAAAACAAAAACAACCCCCCCACAGTCTTGTAGACGCTTTCCGATCCCATGCACTCTGTTAACTAGCCTACTTCTTCTACAGTACAGCATAAACATTGCTTACACGTTTGTATGTAACACCTATAAGCACCGGGCATCTACACTTCAAGTGTATTTACAAGTTCAACAGAATATCTACATATAAAAAGCTTTACTTAAAATCAAACTTGATGCAAGTTATGAGAAACCAGTTTATTGGCAAATGAAACTGAGCACTCTTTCAACCATACGTTGTTATAGAATTTCATATTTGGAGGTAAACCATTCGATAGATCTCATTCATGATTATGATCGACTCTATAGATTTAGTGTTGAAATGGCAGATGTCATCATTTTGGTGGTTGGCCTTGTGAGTGCTTGGTAGATTTTTCAGAACCGCAAACGTGTAAGAGCAATTTGCATACGCATAGCTGACTGCTGCAGAAGGCACCCAGAGCACCCACATAGGGAGGTAAAGACTCAGAGACCAATTTATTACTGTTGGCATGCTGGTGCATACTTTATTTTCAGAATAACTTAAACATTTTGTTTTCTACCCAGTTGACATCCTTCTGATTTTGACCTGTTTTAATTGAAACCATACGAGACTCTAACATCACCACACGCTCCTTTGATGATAAAGCTTTTCTTTTTATGCTACGGGGAAAAATGCTCCTTAAAATAAATGGTCTTCTTCTTCTTCTTTCTTGTTTTCATATTTCTTTTTTCTCTCTCCAGCATTTCATTTTTATTATCCCTGTTTTATGAAAGTGACTGCTAGACCAGGAGAGTGATCTGGGACTTGGACCTGGCCATCTTGGCTAAGCCAGGTCGCAGTATGCTATGGAATGTTTACTGTCTGCAGCTCTGCGCTTTTCCCGCCCGGTGTCTTCTGGAATCAGGTTTGCCGGGGCATTTTAGTGGTCTGTTCCAGACCCTTTCAGTGTGGCACAAGTCTCAGAAATGCATCGCAATGTGCCCTGTGTCTGCCTCGGGGCCATGGAACGTAGAGATGCTGCCAAAGTGGAACACTGTACTGCTGTAATACCTGATGTATTAAGAAGGCTACGACATCACAGGAGCAAAGAGCAGGTCACAGCGTCTCAGTAAGCATCAGCAAATGGAACTGTCATCATGAACTCATTTAGCAAGTATATACTGTACATACTGTTTCTAACAGTCTCCCAAAAAGACTAACAACAGCTAGACATAAAGTCACCAATTCCACAGCAATGTCCACAAAGACATTGAAGCTCTAGAAAATCTACAGTAACACTCTTGACACCGAAAACGGAATTCATAATTAGGGGGTCAGCAGAGGACAGGGTAAACAAAGTATCAAACCATGTCTTCATAACATACACAGGTATGTCCTTTAAATGAATAGCGTTTTTCATGCATCATACTGAACTGTATCCTTAAGAGACAATGACATGGTAGTTGATGATGCGTTATCAGTTCCGAGGAAATAAAAGTTACCCCTTTGGGACAAAAAAGTGTGTACTTTGTACTCCAGTTCACATTCACGTATCCTTCGACTGAGTTCTGTTCTTGCTCTGTTCTCATAATAATAACATACAGTAGAAAATAATAGTTTCTCTATATATGTTTATAGTATGAGAGGCCTGACACCAAGTGTTTAAGAGAAACATTCTAGAGAAATGGGAGATTGGCAAAGGGCTTAAAAGTTAAACAAAGGAATTCATGGCATTGACAGGAGACGGTGCCTCCGAGCTCTCATTCCCTTCGGCTGGTTCTTTCTCCTTCTTCCCGCTGTACTGTCCAATAAAAGAGCCGTCCTCATTGAACTGCCCGTTCACTCCCTCTCCATAGTCAACTAGGCTGTCGTCACTTTCCTCCTTCGTGCCATCTGAAGAGGTGCGACTTCCATTCTTTTTGTTTTTGGGGGTTTTATGGTCTTCTGCATCACTGGAAAAAGAGAGAACATTCTTATCAAGACTGGCATTTAAGTAAAGGTTGTCTGTTGTTGGGTTTGTTTTTTGTGATTATGCATGCAAATTATGATGAAGCATGTGCAGTCTTGAGCTCCTCCCGCTAAATCTAATGGTAAGGTTGCCTCCGATCACTAGGGTATGATTGGAATGAGAATCAGGTGCCGAAATGGTTTAATCAAGAAGTCTTCAGTAGAGTGGATGGCTTCCTGGTGTGCATGTCAATTTCAACAACAGATTCTGACTGGGGATTTGAAAGCAATTTAGAAATAATCACAAGCTTGGCCAAAGGAAGAATTGGAGGGGAAAAACCATTTATGGGAAATAGAGAGGTTAGTATGTTAGACTGTTTAAGATCTCTGATTCCTTGCATATGGATGGACAATGATTTTGGTTAAAACATGAAGTATGGATTATTTCCCCCTGAACTGGAAGGTGAAGCCAAATCCTGCATGGTGCAGTTTCATTATTGAGTGCAGGCCAGGCTCACCGACTTCAACCTTACCTTTCTAGAGACCTACAGATTCCATTAAAGGGACGCAGAAGAAACAAATGAAAATAGCCTAAGAAGAAAAGCAAAATCCTTATACTGATAATATACAAGATTCTTTTTTCAGAAAGAATTTTAGTTATTGGGTAAAGACTTCGTAATTTGGAAAAAGACACAATTTGACTCAAGACCCCAGATTTGGACTATGCCAAAATATTCTATTGACATGCCAATATGTTCTAAAAAGCGTGAATGATTAAACAACATAAATGATATTTGGGGGCACTCATCTCTACCTTTTTATTTCCTTTTCTCATATGTGTTATATGGCCTATTCATGTTAGCCAAGTATCCAAGGAGTATAACTTAATAATACTTGTAAGATGCTATGTGTTTATTTTTCTTGCTTATTTGTTGAATCTTCTAAGCACAATTTTTGTAAGTACAGGAGGAATCATTGTCTTTTGGATCCCCCACCTGGGGCGCTATGTTAACAGAGATGTGCATTCAGCTATTCTTTAATAGGTAATATTCATTCTACAAAATGTAGAAGGGAAACAAAGAGACAATGACAGAATCTAATATTATGTTTCATTTCATATTATTAAAAATGCAGGCAAAATAAGAATCATACACAATAGTAATATAAACAATAAAATAAAAAAGACAGTGTTAAAGAGAGGCTGCATTAGTGATAGACTCTCTCCCAGGAGTTTGTGCTCCGCTCTCATTACTCTTCCCTTTCAGAGAGGGGGGTTTCTAGCTGAGGCACAGTTATGTCAAGGTACACAAAGATTTCGTCCCCTTCACTTGTAATCCCTACTAGGAATTCCAATTTTTCTCTGAGAGAAAATCTCAAAATGGGAATATAATGCCAATAGACAGATGTATGTTGACAGAAAAAAATTAACTGTGTCAACAATAAACAACTTCTTGCCATAAACTGAAACTCTATGATCATTTATGATAGTTTATGATATTATCATTTTTTATTTAATCCTTTGTGTCAATTTGGCTGAGCTAGGATTCTCAGTGACTTGGCAGTTAAGACCTAGTCATCCTCGATGATACGATCTCCTCAAGGATGTAACCTGCTTCCAATATAATTAGATATTGTGGAAATGCTTGCTTGCTTTTGCTGGATCTGGATCCTGCATCTGGTTGGTCAATCTTCTTAGGACTTGATCCAGGGGCCTAATGCCTGCCAGTCCTGAGAGTCATCAGTAGCCTGCCATGTTACCTGCCAACCTTGGATTCATTTGCCTCTGCAGCCATAGCCTGACATGCTGACTTCAGATTCATTCACCTTTGTAGCAAGAAGCCTGTTGCCTGACCTGCCATCCTGGATTCACCAACCGTGGAGCTATGTGAATCAGGAGGAGTCTCCAGCCTGACATTTGACCCATGGACTTGGACCTTGTCTGCCTCTACAACTGTATGAGCCATTTCCTTGAGATAAAACCACTTCACCAGTTTTGTTTTTCTAGAGGACCCACCCTAGGAAACCACCCTGGCTAGTGAACACCTGGGGAGGAGTCACCGCATCTTGTGGTTACCTGTGCTTGGAATACTTCAGGCGACATAGCATCCAGTCTCCATTTTATTACATGAATCCTTTATATAAGATTTAATCATTATCTTCTAGGTTTTCCTTGAATGATTCCCTTGGAAAATTGTGCATGACTCAATGATATAGCTAAATTCCATGGAAAAGTTCCACAATGAGTAGAGTTTTGTCATTGGATTCTAGTCATTGCTCTTATTCTGTTTCCTAGAACTAATGTCTCTGCTACAGGGAATTCTAGTTCTTTGACCAAGCCAATTGTCTATCCATCCATCTATTCATCCAATAAATGTTTATGGAGTGCTTATTCTAAGACCACTTTTGTTCTGGGCACTGGGGATATATACACAAGACAGATTAAACCTCCTGCCTCACTGGGCTTACATTCCAGTGGAGAAAAATACAGACAATCCTCAGCATAATACAAATATTAGGCACAGAGTCTGTTCGAAGGTGGTTAGCTGACTGCCATCGAGTGAATTCTGGCTCATAGCACCCTACAGGACAGGCTAGAGCTGCCCCTGTGGGTTTCTCAGATGGTAACTCTACAGGAGTAGAAAGCCTCATCTAGTTCCTGTTGAGCTGCTGGTAGTTTCAGACTGCTGACTTTGTGGTTACCAGCCCAAGGTGGGAACACCATCTGGCCAGAAGGCGATTTCTCTCTCTCTCTCATTGGCATCAAGTCGGTGCCGACTCACAGTGACCCTATCAGACAGGGCAGAACTGCTCTTGTGAATTTCTCAGGCTGTCTTTTTTTTTTTCTTTTTAAATCATTTTATTGGGGACTCACACAATTCTTATCACAATCCATACATCCATCCATTGTGTCAAGCACATTTGTATATTTGTTGCCATCATTTTCAAAGCATTTTCTTTCTACTTGAGCCCCTGATATCAGCTCCTCATTTTCCCCCTCCCTCCCCGCTCCCCTCTCCCTCATGAACCCTTGATAATTTATAAATTATTATTTTGTCATATCTTACACTGTTCAATGTTTCTCTTCACCCACTTTTCTGTTGTCCATCCCCCAGGGAGGAGGTTATATGTAGATCCTTGTAATTGGTTCCTTCTTTCTACCCCACCTTCCCTCTACCCTCCAGGTATCGCCACTCTCACCACTAGTCCTGGATTCCTTGTGTTTCCAGTTCCTATCTGTACCAATGTACATTCTCTGGTCTAGCCAGATTTGTAAGGTAGAATTGGGATCATCTTAGTGGGGGGAGGAAGCATTTAAGAACTAGAGGAAAATTGTATGTTCCATCGTTGCGACCCTGCACCCAGACTGGCTCCTCTCCTCCCCACGACTCTTCTGTAAGGGGGAGCCCAGTTGCCTACCGATGGGCTTTGGGTCTCCACTCTACAGTCACTCTCATTTACAATATGACTTTTTGTTCTTTGATGCCTGATACCTGATCTCTTCGATACCTCGTGATCACACAGGCTGGTGTGCTTCTTCCATGTGGGCTTTGTTGCTTCTGAGCTAGATGGCCACTTGTTTTACCTGCAAGCCTTTAAGACCCCAGACGCTGTATCTTTTGATAGCTGGGCACCATCAGCTTTCTTCACCACATTTACTTATGCACACATTTGTTTTCAGTGATCTTGTCAGGAAGGTGCGCATCATGAATGCCAATTTAATAGAACAAAGTGTTCTTTCACTGAGTAAGTACTTGAGTGGAGGTCCAATGTCCATCTGCTGAGGCTGTAACTCTACCAGAGTAGAAAACCCCATTTTTCTCCAATAGAGAACCTGTTGGTTTTGAACCACAAACCTTGTGGTTAACAGTCCAATGCATAACCAATGGGCTATCAGGGCTCAGTAGCATTACAGAAAACATTGAAGGGAGAAAAGAACATTGCAGGCTTCAGGGAAGGAATAGAGGCTTGGGATTTAAAAAGGAAGCTCAGGGAAGGCCTCGTTAAGGAAAGACTTCTGATCAGAGACTTAAAAGAGTTGAGCTTTCCTGGTGGATAGCTGGAGGGAGAGTGATCTCTACAAGAAAAACAGTAATGCAAATTCCCTGAGGTAGAAGGAAACTTAGCTCTTTCTAAGAACAAGAAAGAACGTGGTGTGGCTAGAGCTGAATTGAGTCAGAAAGAGACTGTATTTGGAGTTGGGAGAGTTAACAGGGCTTGATCCAGGCATTGTGGACACGGCAAGGATTCTGACTGTGATGGGAGATGGGCCAAATTGGGTCTTCCCATTCACTTACATATAATTTGTTGCTACATTTGAATTACAACAGCAGAGTTGAGTAGTTTCAGCACTTAACGCTCATAATGTCTAGAACATTCACAGAAAGAACTTGTTCACCCCTCTTCTGGGGGTTCAACAGAGAGATTACTAGAACAATCCACGAGTGATCTGGATTAGAGGGGAAGAGCAGAGGCGGTCAGATGGTGGATGTGCTTTTGAGTGTACAGCTAACCAAATTTTCTGGTGGATTCCATGAAGAATGATAAAGGAAAGGACAAAAGAAGGATGAAGCCAAGACTTTGGCTTGAACAATGGGAAAAGAGGAGGTGACCTTATTCTGAGATGTTTGGGGAGAACTCTTGTAGTTCTGTGTTGGACATGTTCAATTTGACATGCCAGAGAAAACACTCCTTTAATCATTTTTATGATGCTAGTATTGATATATCCACTCAACAAGGATATATTGAGAAAGGGAAATTATAGGTGAATTTCATCTATAACTACAGACCAAACAATCTTAAACAAATCATCAGTAAATAGAATTTCATTATCTGCCAAGAAGATGATTGCCAACGTGGGTTTATTCCAGGACTGCACGCTTCACATTAGAAACGAGTCCATGTAACATACTAAATTCACATAAGAAAATAGAGAAACAAGAAAATAAGAAAAAATACTAAATTCACAAAGAAAATAGTATGTGATCAACCCAATAGCTTTACAGAA